TCATCAATAATAATGATTTACTTGCTGCTGACTTTGATCCGTCTTAATGAAACACCCTTATATATAATCCTTCTTAATGAAACACCTTTTATATGTTATTCTGCTTTCACAATTGAATACATGGTAGATGTTACTCAGCTTTTGGTCATATACATGTTTGTGTGGACATAATTACTAGAGGCGGTGATATGCTGCAGTTATATTTTGGAATACAGTTATATTTCTTCAAGAAATTGTACATAATTATATTGATTAATGTCATGAAAGGTTACTTTCATGTTGATTCTGTGGTTAATTCTTTTAGTGGCATATCAACCCTTATGGGTCATTTAATGCCGGAGTCTAAATATTTTAAACACATTTGTATACCTTCAACAACAGTTAAAATTTGTTGTTAGTAATTTTACTATCAATAGATGTTGTAAATATTTTTTTATAAAATGTATTTGTAGTAACGTATGCAAATTAAATAGACAAGTATAAACAGAGAACAACTGGCGAACATTGAGGCTATGGCTAGCAAATCTATTCAGGGCATGGAGAACTGTACTACGATTACTACTACGCAGAGAGATATGCAAAAACATAACAGTATTGCCGTTATTTTTTATATAAAAATGTATATTTAGTTTTTTTGTTTTTGTTTTTTGTTTGGAGGTTCACTATTTGCCCGTAGCTGGGGCCCTGACATGTTTTACGACCCCAAGTAAAGGTGGATCTGGAACAACGGAAGGTGGTTCCATTACTTGAAACCCTCCCAATTAGAGGCCTTGCTGCCGGATGCAATTTATCGTCAAACCCCGGACTATCGTTTTCTAGTGTGATCAATTTTAAACGTTTTCCTATTTGTTACTTATTTTATCACACACACACACACACACACACACACACACACACACACACACACATATATATATATATATATATATATATATATATATATATATATTATAATTGTTTTTAATATATTATCATCGCAACACCGAAATTCCTATGTTTCAAAACTGAAACTTCAATTTAAATTCAATCATAAAAATTAAACTTAAAATACAATGTTAAATCTCATTGTTCTTTCCTAAATATATATATATATATATATATATATATATATATATATATATATATATATCCCTCTCTTCACCGGCGGTACATATATGTTACTGGCGACTCTAGGTCATCGGTGGTTGTTCAGCTCATTACAATATTTAACAAAATGTGCTATTGGTATAAATTAGATGCTAAAATAATTCCTTTACTCTAACTAAAATATAACAATTTTAAAAATCTCTGTGTATGAAATTAAAAAAAAACATTTTGGTATTTTTATGTTAATTATAATAATTCCATAAAAATAAACATTTATTTTTTAACATTTCTCCAGACATGTAAGAAAAAATGTTTGTCTGTTTGTTGCCCCTTTCCATTTTTTTATTTTTTATAGCCTGGTTATTAAGCCATGATTAATCAAGTCACGGAATACTTGGCAGATATCATATTTCCTCAACACTACCCCAGTCACACTCCTCACCCCACCCAAGAGTTTGGGCTGCCACTTTCTTTGATTTTTACCGATTTAAAATTAAAGTAAGAAATACATTATATTTCTTCTTCAGCCTGATAGGGTTTAGCTCTACGCAGCCCAACTAGCCACATTAATTTTATTTCATTCATTTTTTTTTTTTTTTACTTACTTTCTATTTTTATTTCTTCCGTTATTATGAACAATATCAACGAAATGTATTTCGGTTAATAAATATTTTGAGGCAAGCGGTTAAAACAATTAATTTTGGATCCAGCTGAAGTCAACAATGAAAACGACACACTAAGAAAACTTGAATGTTGACTCATACAGGCTAAGCCCTGACACCGGAGCCGCCACTGATATATATATTCGTCAGAGCAAAACGTACCAAACAAAGAAGTTCTGCTCCTTAGTACTCCATGAACCACAGGTGAAACCGCGCTGTAGCGAAGAGATTTAAGTATTTTATTAATTATACTTAAGAAAAAAGTTTAAATCGCTCTGAATTTTCTTCTTTTTTAAGTAGTTTGAACACATTTTTACTCCTATACAAGTTTTCCTATAAAGAGCAAGCGGTTGACCTGACGTTTTTGTTGACTGATTTGCTTTTTTTACGGCTTATCAACCTCTTGCAGATTATTAAACGACGAAACATTTTCAGCTTGTAAGAAGTGTTGGAGATAATATTGATTTACTGATGCAGATCTTACTATTGAACCCATAGCTGAGAGGGAGAAGAGGTGAATTCATACCTTTCACAAGAGTATTTGCGAAAGCGAATATAACGAACTCGACTGGAATTGAAACTTGACTATCAGATTTCCGTTCTGAGCTGTTATCCATTTCATCACCCGCACATCCAAGCTTACAGCACCTGGTATTCCCAAGCGGTCACCCATCTGGGTATTGACCAGGATTGACATTGCTTAACTTCGGTGATCGTACGATAACCGGTGGTTCAACGTGATACGGCCGTAAGTCTTGACGCCTTTGTTGTATTTTGTTACTAATTTACTAATATATGTTTATTAAAGTTTTTAGTTTTGTACCACACTTATATTGGTATTTAAATTGTTCGTTTTAGCATTTCATTTAATCTTTTTCCACCTCCTTTGAACGCCATATTTTTTTTACCTTTTATTATTATTTTTTTTCGCGTGTCTGCCTGATGCTTCTTTATTTTTCTTCATTTTTTTCCCATTCTTTCTCTAAACGTATCATTGCTTTCTTCAACTGCCTCATGCAATTCATTTCTTTCCTTTGATGAGATTTCACGAACTTCTATTCCGAGGTTCACCAGGCCAACCAACAGCAGACGTCAATTTAAATTAGACAAGAATTCTAAAATTTAAGAAGTGATTATGGATTTTTTTTATTAGTAGCATTTGATTTTTTTTCTTTAATTTCGAACTTTCGTAATTAATAATGCCTTCTGCTTTTTTTTAAGTTTCAATATAGGCTTCTAGAAAGTTCTGAAAAGAAAAAAATAGAAAGAGACATAGAAAAAATATTGAATTTATAAGAGAAATTATAATGAGACGAAGTTACTTTTGTTTAATATCCATTATAAACCGAAGAAATAAGGAATAAATTTTCTGGGAACGACTCGTATGCTAAGCTAAATGGTTGGCCACTTTGTAGATAATGATCTATAAAATGCATACTTATTGCAATTTAAAGGTTAATTTTGCAAATGACGGAAACATCTATTTGTACTGTTTGAATAAAAACCGTTTTTTTTTCTCTGTGTAATGAAACGGTGCCATTAGTATAACATGTCTTAAATTTTGAAATTTCAAATTAAAAGCCAAGATCGAAGTTTTGATTTGAGTGATAATAAAAAAAATGTTTAATAATTCCAGAGCTTGTAATTTTAAAAAAAACGTTGCGATTACAACAAATGATTGGTAGTTGCTATTAACGTTACCAACCGTTTATAATTGGAAAGATGTCTTTTATTTCGGTTATTCTGTATCTGTTTCTATCTCTCAGATCAAGTATTAGGATTACTTCCATGATTTGCATTATTCGGACTGTTATCCTCATCTTCATTGCCATATTCACAACGTTTCGGCCGTTGTACGCTCCGGCCTTTATGTCTATGTCTCTCTATATCTCTGTCTATATCTCTGAGATGAGGTATTATGATTACTTCCATGATTTGCATTATTCGGACTGTTATCCTCATCTTCATTGCCATATTCACAACGTTTTGGCCGTTGTACACTTCGGCCTTTATGTCTATGTCTCTCTATATATCTGTCTATATCTCTGAGATGAGGTATTATGATTACTTGTATTATTTACATTATTCGGACTGTTATCCTCATCTTCATTGCCATATTCACAACGTTTTGGCCGTTGTACACTTCGGCCTTTATGTCTATGTCTCTCTATATCTCTGTCTATATCTTTTAGATGAGGTATTATGATTACTTGTATTATTTACATTATTCGGACTGTTATCCTCATCTTCATTGCCATATTCACAACTTTTCGGCCGTTGTACGCTCCGGCCTTTATGTCTATGTCTCTCTATAACTCTGTCTATATCTCTGAGATGAGGTATTATGATTACTTGTATTATTTACATTATTCGGACTGTTATCCTCATCTTCATTGCCATATTCACAACGTTTCGGCCGTTGTACGCTCCGGCCTTTATGTCTATGTCTCTCTATATCTCTGTCTATATCTTTGAGATGAGGTATTATGATTACTTACATTATTTACATTATTCGGACTGTTATCCTCATCTTCATTGCCATATTCACAACGTTTCGGCCGTTGTACGCTCCGGCCTTTATGTCTATGTCTCTCTATATCTCTGTCTATATCTCTGTGATGAGGTATTATGATTACTTGCATTATTTACATTATTCGGACTGTTATCCTCATCTTCATTGCCATATTCACGTTTCGGCCTGATTGAAATTTGGAACCGAACTGCTTACTTTTGTCATTACAATTGGGTATCTATCAGAATTAAACTATATATATATATATATATATATATATATATATTTCTGTTTTATTTTGGCAAGATAATACTGTTTTTTTTTTTTTACTGGCAGATGTACAATTGTGTTTTTACGGCTTCATTTGATCTTGTCCGAATGGTTGCTTGCCTCCCACACCTTACAGGTTCGTTGATGTATGCACGGTGAACACGCACTGTCTATATTTTTTCCCCATCTTAGTTCTATCTGAGAGAAAAAGGTTCCCATTTTCGTACTGAAAATTGCATAAAGGCATGAAACTAACAATAGTGATCGAACACTGTGCGCCTGAAAGGTGATTCATATTTTAGAAAATGTCTTCCATTTCATATGGTGTTGAGCAATTTTTCTTTCTAGTGACCATTCAGGGCAGACATACTTTTTTAAATGATGCTTATTTCTATATATATATATATATATATATATACAGTAGAGGTAATCGATTCGTTGGTATATTAAAACTGCTCCACTGATAGCTCGATGCTTTTATTTTAAAAGAGCATATGTTTTTATAAAAAAAAAAAAAATTACCTCAACACAGAGGATAGTATGTTTGAAACCTTGTTAGTGGCTGATGATAATCGCGGACAGAACAGCTTGAAATAGACTATCCTCTATTTTTTTTGTTTTTTGCTATAATACATATATATATATATATATATATATTGATAATATTAGTGGTAAATATACAAACACACTCACACACACACATATATATATATATATATATATATATATATATATATATATATATATATATATATATATACAAAATATATAAATATATACAGATACATGCATACACATACATATATATTTTATGAATAAAAAAATTCCAAGATAATAGTATCCAGGTAGAACCCAATGTCCAGGACAGAGTAAGGATATAATAAAAAGGCTTAAACACTAGTATTCCATGGTCATAATTTATTCCATTGGAATCGTAAATACGATCCAATTCATCAGACCTACAAATTCAAAAAGAAAACAGAAAAAAACAACTACTGAAATAAAAAATAAAATTTAGAGAGAGGGTAAGTATGATAGTGTGATACGAATGTTAGAGCTAAAGAGAGGGGTAACAGACAAGAGAAGGTGGGAGATTAAACCTTAACAGAGAGAAGTTTTAGAGAGGTGAGTTGAAGAGGTTTAAGTGAGAGAAATATGAATGTTGCCGGATATCTAATACATTAAAGATGTAACCGGAAAGGATACATTTTGTGGTGACATACACACACAATAGACGATCTAATCTTAAAGATCAGAAGAGGGAGGGAGAGGAAAAGAAAAGAAAAAGGGGTGGGGGAGAGAGATGGGGCGGGGGAAACTAAAACTGAAGAGCATTTACTAAAAGGGCCGCTGTGTAATTAAGAAAATTTGACAAAATTAATATCGACTTCAGGTCACAAATCAAATATAAACATATAAAAATAAATATAACGATTATCTAATCTAGCAAAGACCTATATTTTTATGTTCTTTGATTTAAAATTTATAATTTCTTGGGGTGAATCAATATTTGGGATAAACAACTTTACATTATTTGGGGGTCAATTAACAGAAAACATCTAAAATACTGCCTCATTTAGCTTTTTCCGTTTTTGTCGTTTAATATGTAAGGACAATTTTTACATACCCTTCAAAACAATATAGGAACATTAGAAAAACTAAATAAAAATCTTCCTTTTCCGTAGAATTTAATGAGACATATATAAAAGAACGATTGCTGCCCCAATATACAATATTCAAATTACATGATCCGGCGACCAACAAGAAAAACACTCAGTATGTTGGGAAGATATTTCGTTCAATGGCAGATAATATCAACCAAGGAAAAGATTCATTACATAATAAATTAAATAAGAAAAAAAGAGACATTCTGAAATATATTGACATAAACAGAAAACACCAATGGCGAAGACCATCGCAATCAACTCACTAGTAAGCTAGACCTCGACCTAAAATACAACATTACTAACAAAAAAAAAAAAATCTGCAATTTGTATAATGGAAATATTTGAAGTCCTGTGTATGACAATAAATTGCATTTGGTAGTAAGGCTTATGATCGAAAGAGGTTTTGAGGAACATAGAACCACTTCCTAATTGCTATTCCAGGGCAGGATGATAAACTAATACTGGCAGAAACGCCAATGTTCGGGAGACTGGAGGGTTTGAGGATCATGAAACAACTTCCTAATTGCTAGTGCTAGGCACGACGATAAACTACATCTGACAGCAAAGCATCTATTCGGGAGATAGGAGGTTTTGAGGAGCATGAAACTACTTCCTAATTGCTAGTCTAGGGTACGACGATAAACTACATCTGGCATCAAGGCATCTGTTCGGGAGATAGGAGGTTTTGAGGAGCATGAAACCATTTCCTACCTGCTAGTCCTGGGCACGACGATAAACTACATCTGGCAGCAAAGCATCTGTTCGGGAGATAGGATGTTTTGAGGAGGATGGAACCACTTCCTAATTGCTAGTCCAGAGCACGACGATAAACTACATCTGGCAGCAAGGCATCTGTTCAGCAGATAGGAGGTTTTGAGGAGCATGAAACCACTTCCTAATTGCTAGTCCTGGGCACAATGATAAACTACATCTGACAGCAAGGCATCTGTTCAGCAGATAGGAGGTTTTGAGGAGCATGAAACCACTTCCTAATAGCTAGTCCTGGGCACGACGATAAACTACATCTGACAGCAAGGTATCTGTTCGGGAGATAGGAGGTTTTGAGGAGGATGGAACTACTTCCTAATAGCTAGTCCTGGGCACGACGATAAACTACATCTGACAGCAAGGTATCTGTTCGGGAGATAGGTTTTGTGGAGCATGAAACCACTTCATATTTGCTAATCCTGGGCACGACGATAAACTACATCTGGCAGCAAGGCATCTGTTCAGCAGATAGGAGGTTTTGAGAAGCATGAAACCACTTCCTAATAGCTAATCCTGGGAACGACGATAAACTACA